GACAGGGTTGGACCAGGTGACCTTTCAAGGTCCCTTCCAACCTGGACTGTTCGATGACTCTGTGATTCTTTGTGGTTTGTTTGTTGTTGCTCTTGGCACACCTTTGCAGTGTGCTCCCAGGCTAAGTGGCAGAGAAAAGAGACGTTAACTGCTGAGGGAGTGGGAGTTAGCTGTGCCTGTCCCTCCCTGCAGTAACCACTCCTGAGCTTGAGTTTATGGGCTTCCTTTTTTAGCAATGAAAAGCTCTTTGTAGCTGATACTTTTCCATAGGCAGCCTAGCAGAACAGCTCCAGTTCTCAGTGCCCCCAATGAATCTTCTCTGATTACAGCAGCGAAAACAAATTCTCTGTTTGTGACTTAAATTTGTGCTGATGAAACGTGAGCTAGACCTTTCCTCTTCCCTGGGGCTCCGCCCCGTGCCCGTATGTCTACGAGCAAAAAGCAATTCCTGATCAGTGAAGTCAGCAGCACCTGCACACGATAAGACAAGTTTAGGGGTAAGGAAGTGCCGTTTGTATACATCCCCATTTCTGGGGACTCTGAGCGTGAAGGAGCATGGCAGAACATGCTGCCAGGCGGGGGGTTCCCTCGCTCATCCTTGGGGTGCCCTCCTGCCGTCAGGCTGCCGCCGGGGAGCGATGGCCCGAGGGCAGAGCGGGTCCCACTGCAGCGAGGTCCAGCCCTGCCCCTGCTGACGGCTGCTCGGCCGCTGACCAGCGACTTCTCGTTTAACAAACTTCCTTCCTTTCCCAGATTGCCAAGGATCTGCATCAGTTTACATTTGACCTCTTAATTAAGGCCCATATGGTGAGCGTGGACTACCCTGAAATGATGGCCGAGATCATCTCTGTGCAGGTTCCCAAGATCCTGTCTGGAAAAGTCAAGCCTATCTACTTCCACCCACAGTGATCTTCCCGAGGGAGCCCCCGGTTCCGCCGCCCCGTTCCAGCCATCTCCCGTCTGTCACTTCTGCACTACTGCACTGCAGTGCCTTGGGGAATCCCCCCCGCAGAGGCCACGGACAGTTCCGAACCACGACCTGCTGGGATCTCTGATGTTTTTCTTTTTCCCGAGGTACCGCTGAACTGAACTACCTGCCCCGGCTCCTGCCCAGACACGCTGTGCTGGGGCAGGGGATGGCGGCCTGGTGGCAGCGGCACCGTGTCTATGCTTTCTTCTTTGTGTGTTTGCCACAGTGGCTTTTAGTGGCCCAGGGCCACGGGAGATCGGGAGAAACGCCCGCAGTTGTTGGGTTTGGGTACTTTTTTTAAAACCAGAACAAGACAAGAAGCTGGTCGAACCTCTCAGTTTGGGTGTGGGTTACTTTAGTCCTTTGGGACTTTTTATTTGCATTACGGTGCTGGGAAGCAGATGAGTTAAAATACAGCAGTAGAGAAACAGAGAAGAGTTGTGGAGACGAGATGAACTTGCAGCCTGATGGATTTCCAGGACCTGCTGCTGGGTCAGAAAGCTGCCGCGCAGCCGTGGAGGGCTCTGCCCCCGCCAGCACCCTCCTGCCGCCGGCCCCGGTGGAGCGCTGCGGGGCTGTCGTGGAAGGGCTGCCGAGGAAGACGCCCTTCGGGAGGCCCCAAGGAGGGCAGAGAGCGACTGGTTTCCACCTGGGATGATTTTCCTGCAGCTGGTGAGGCTGGTCTCGGTCTGGCCAGGCGCTCAGCAGCCACAGTCCCATCCTGCTGCTCCCACACAGCCGTACCCACGAACCCACCTCCGCAAGTGCCTGACGTCCTCCGACCTGACGCTCTCCCTCCTCCCGCGGGCACCCCAAGGCCCTGCCCGGCCCCTCACCACCTCTGCTCTGTGTCCGCAGACCCCGGGTTTCCAGCTACACGACTTATTTTCTGTTTGTCCCAACTGTTCTTTCTGAAGCCACCAAGACTGCCTGGCCGGACGCAGTGGGGGCTGTGACGTGGTCTGGCTTTACCCGCACGGGTGGCTACAAGGGCTCCTTGTGCCGGCGAGTCCGTGCCCTGCCGCACGCCGTTCATTGACCGGGGGGGGGGTTTGCCACCACGGGACGGAGCGGGGTTTGTGGTGGAGCTGTGCCCCCCAGGGCTCTGAGCCCCCCAGGGCTCTGTCACAGTCCTCGGGCACAGAGATGCCCCAAGCATGAAGCAGATGCCGGAGCGTGGAGCGGTGAACCCGGCCGTCAGGTGCCTCACACCGCGCCGTGTTCCCCCGTGTGCCACCCGCTACCGTCCGATGTCTGAAGGGGAAGGGGAGGGTGAGGCGGTCCGTGTCGTGTGGGAAGGGCTGCTCGTGCTTCTGCTGCTTCTGCTGCTCGTGCTTCTGCTGCCTGGACGGTTCACGAGTTGAGCGTCACCGTCAGCTCGCCGGGCAGGTGCCCTCGTGGTCCATCTGGGTTCTCTGCAAGCTTGCAGGAACAGAAACACTTAATTTTCCTGATGCTGAGAAGTATTCTCATTAAGGGAATTTGCATTAAGGGTATTGTCATTCATTTTCATGAAGGGAAGGGGTAGGGAACAAAAAACCCCAACTATTGAAGAGGGGGATGTTTCTTTACAGCGGTTTGTAATGGGTTTTCCTCCCCTGCTAGATGGGGCTCTGCTCACGCTCATCCTCCTGAAATCCCCTCTCGTAGGTGGCAACAGAGTCCGCAGGCGACCTCCCTGCCCGCCAGCCAGCAGGACGGTGTTCTCAGAGGCCTTTCCTATTGCAGAGGGCTGCACGCATTTTGACTGTTGATATGATCGACTAATACTTGCAAATGAACCAGTAAAAAGGTCCCGCTGGTGCATTTCCTCTCTTCCTGACCATTTTCTGGCTATTTTCGGGAGGCTGCAACAGGCAGCTGGGGGTAACACTCTGATCTCTGTCATCAACAGGAGGGTGTTTATCGGCAATGTGCAGAGCTTCGTGCTTCCCACAGCCTCGTGTCACTGAGGTTTTCATTAGTTAATGAGCACGGAGGTATCCTGCTGGGAACTTCTGCCAGGAGATGGGGAGGAAATCAGGCTGGATAGGGATCTGCTGGTGGAGGCTCGCCTGGATGAAGGCCGGTTTGGAAGGGGGTGCTGCCTGTGGGGCGAGCCGCCGGCGCCTGGTGCCTCCCCGACGGCTGCCGGAGCTCATGGCAAGTCCCGCAGCCTCGGGGCAGGGGAACAGCCCTTTTTTACACAAAAACTCCCTTGTTATGATGTTATTAGAGGGGTGACTGGAGGATGTGGGACCCAGTAGCACCTGTGTGTGTATTTGCTGGCAGGGAGTTCACACTGTTCCTGGTTTATTTTCATGGCTGCTGCAGGAACTGGGGAAAAAAGAGGCTTAAGAAATACCGAAGTCCAGGTCCTGCCATACAGCTTTGTCCTTTTCTGTGTTTTCTTGTCTCCTTTTGCTTTACTAAAGCAAAGAGGATTTCCCCATGTTCACAATCCTGTGGAAGCTGTCCCGTCCCTGAGGCTTTCCTGGAGACGGCTGAGCCCTGGGAGAGGGGATGCCCCCGGCGTCGGTGACCTGCAGTGCCCCGTCCCCCCGCTGCCTCATGGGCTCTGCTTTGTCTTCTCGGGGGGTGTGTGGGCTTTTGTGCCACCTTGGCCCACCTTGGCCCATCTCCCAGCCGGGTCCTGGCAGCCCCGTCCGCACTCAGCAGGGAGCCTCGATTAGCAAGAGCGGGAGCTGCTCGGAGAGACGGGGTGAACGGTTCTGGAGAGCCTGGCAGCATCAGCGCTGTTCCCCCAGAACGCCCAAAGGGCCTCTGTGCTTGGCCCCAGGCAAAGCGGGGTTAAGCCGCGAGCATCGCGCAGGCGAGGTCGATGCCGAGCATGAGGAAGGCATTGGCCCCTCCTGTTGCTGAAGATACCTGTTTAATGCTCTGAGAGAGTTTCTTTTCTAGTTGCACACAGTGCAACTAAATATTCTTTGGGAGATGTGTCAGTATATGCCAATATTAACAGCAATTTTCAATATAATAATTTTTTCTGGTTAGGTACTGCTGTTTTCAGAGGTCCGTCCTTTGAGCATGAGCAGAGCGCCCGCTGGCACACCCTGGTGTCGGTATCAACTTCTTCAGCTTTCTTGTAGCTGAGTCTGGTTAGACAGGGATAGTGTTTGCACTTGGGGGGTGACAGAGTGTCCTTTATTTCTGCCCTCTTCGACTGCACGAAGTGTCCTTGCACTTTAGGGCAGAATCCTGGAATTACACCGTGGTAGCTTTTCTCTAACTGTTCCAAAGTAGACTTTCAGAGGCACAGAAATTACCGTAACGCCTGGCTGAGTCGTGCTCTGCCCCATCCCGTCCCGGTGCCTGTTCTCAGGCGATGCGGCGCCTGGACGTGGTGGATGGAAACCCGCTGCGGGGCTGGGCACGGCCCCGCTGCAGGGGGGGGCTCCAGCCTGGCCGGGGGGGTCGGCGTGGGATGGGGGGGCAGCGGTGTGGGCTGCAGCCCCCCGCGCCCCCCTGCGCTCACTCACCTGGAGGCACTTGTGCTCCGTTCCCTTTTCAAGTGGTGGGGAACCTGCCCGTGGGGTTCAAGAAGTGAAGAACACCTGAAACCACAGCACGTTTGTAATAAGCCGCTCTCTGTGCCGGGTGTTTTGTGTTCTGTGGCAATTCAGCGCTGGTTTTATTTGTTACCATGTCTCTGTAATAAAGAGTTCTCTATATTGATATATATTCTTTTCTTTGTAATAAGCCAAAAAGCTCATTGCTGGTGCCTTTTTCCCGGGGCGGACCCCGAGCCCGCAGCCGTGTTCCCCGCAGTACGGAAGCAGAATGTCCCTGCCACTGCTGGTTTCGCAGCAGCTGGGCGGGGTGGGGAAGCAGAGGCGCAGGCTGACCCCAGAAGAGCACAGGCGCCTGCAGGCGGGGCAGGAGGACGTTCAGGTACAACGACGTGGTCCTTGGCGAGGGCCAAGCTTTCCTCTTCCTGCGCCCAACACGGGAAGGGCCTTTGCCCGCGCTCGGGCTGCTGCTCCGCCAACTTCATCCTGCGCAGGGGGAGCGGACACGTGCCGCGTCGCGAGGGCTGCGGCTGCGTTGCGGTTGCAGTGCTGCTGCCTCAGCCCCCTTCAGGCGCGGCAGCGTTCTCCCCCAGTTAATAGCTCCTGAGGGTGGATTCTGCTTCTAGAGAAGGACGTTAGTTGGATTGTTGCCACTGCTCCTTCTTTTACAAAAATTGGAACTGGCTACATTGGGTAAGGAAAATAAGAGACCTACAACGTCACAAGATCACGGAGAGTGGAGAGCGGCGACGCCGGCTGCCTTGGCCAGCGAGACGCGGTGGAGGGTGCCCAGGAGACCACCACCGCTCAGAAGTCACCGTGCGGGACTGAAGGACACTTTACTGTCGTAACCAAAAAGAGGAGCCTGTCTGGCATCCGGGATAAAGACAAAGCCAATTACACTCCATGAGGGGAAATCAGAATACTCCCTTTCTGCCTGTTTTAGTCTGTGCTTGGGTCCCACGCAAGCCCTCAGCCTGTGCCGTGCCACAGGGCAGACCTTCACGCTTGGTGTTCAGCTCTTTTTGTAATCTTAAAATCTGTTGTTGTTCTAAGTACAATAAAGGCAGACTCTTGTTTGTTGGAACGCTGCTCTGTGCGTGTATTTGGCTTTTGTTTCAGTTATCTGCATGAAAAATGTTATCCAGTGTGACGAGTATTAGCTATTGACGATGCCAGGAGTAAGTGGGTCATTTTTCAGTGGATGAGGCTGCATGTTGGGTCATTCGTAGGCTGTTTTTCACAGTAGGATTTTGCTATTAATCACGTCTGAACTGTTAATTCATTTACACATCAATTGACTAATCCTTTCATATATGCCTCCTTGGGTCTTTTAAATTGAATTTCATTTGATTAATGTATTTCTCAAAGCAAGGAGCTAATAAAGGCCAGTGTCCTCCTCCTTTTGTGGTTGTTCTCGGTATCTTTATGAGCAGTTGTAAATCCATTCTGCTGGAACTTCTTTATAAAATTGACCTGTGCTCTCTAGGAAATAAAAAAGGCTGCTTATCGGCCCACTTTTTAATTCAAGGCACAGATGTGAATGCAGCTCAGGGTCAAGATTTTATTTGCTGTAAGACAAGCCAAAGAGCTTGAGGAAAAGAAAAAAAACCAACAACCAAACCTCGTCAGTCCACAGAGAGCTGGCAGTGTCTGATTGCAGAGCAGCGATCCCCGGTAAGCAGCGTCCCGAGCAGCGCGAACAGCCTGGGCGTGTGGAGCAGCGTCGTGCTCTGTCATCAGAGTCCGTCCCCGTCCCTCTATCTGTGTCACAGTTAAAAATGAATGCTTCAAAATTCACCCCTAATCCACACCGAAGAACCCACGGCTGCTCATGGGCTGTGCTGCCATCTCAGATACTGGTCACCGTTACCCCCAGGGTCCCCCTCAGACGTTGGCTTGGCCACCAACGTGTCCTGGGCCGAGAGCCGAGCACGCAGGTGATACACAGACAGTGGATGTCTGGCAGGGACAGTCGCCGATGCTAATAACTGTAGAATTGGTGAAATCTCTGCCCTGGCTCTGAATTCGGAGCACAAGGTCTCCAGACAAGGGTGGCAGTGCCACTTCGGCCTGTCTGGAGCCCTTGCGATGGCTCACGGACACACACAGACGAGGGCTCCAGGGCGTGGTTGCTGTCGCGGAGCTGCCCTGACGCCTGCGCAGGTCACGGCCCCTCGGATCTGAGGGGCTCGTCATGCCCCAGCTGAGGAGGAGGAAGGCCGGGCGAGGGAGACGTGGTGGTTGCAGGCTGGGGGGGCTCCAGTGAAGAGCCCGGCGACGCTCAGGTTGGCGTCTCGAGGTGACTTTTCTACACAGGAGCGTGTAGACACACACGGATTCGTGTGGAATCTCATGAAGGTGGTCAGGCAAAAAAAGACCCTCGTGCCCCCTTCGCACCCCATGGCACCGCGCCGTTCCCAGCGGGGCTGACGGAGGCGATGGGGCTGCCCCGGCTCTGCCCCACGGCATCGCCCCCAGCTCGGTGCCAGCCCAGCAGGGGCCAGGGGCCACGAGCAAAGTCTGAGCCCCCCAACCCGCTGTGCGGGCAGAGCCAGGGCTCGGGGAGCCCAAGGGGACGCGGGATGTCGGCTCCTGCCTGGCCTGACCCGGGCGAGAGCTGCCCCAGCCCTCCATCCCGGCGGGGATGGGGCTCGGGGGGCTCGGGGGGCTCGGGGCAGCCCAGCCTCCGGAGGGAAGGGAGGAACGCTCAAGCCAAGTGCTCTGTTCTTGGCAATGGCCTCGCTCTGGAGCAGAAACCCACTTAATATCCATAATAACCGTTCAATTTAGAAAAACAACACTTCTCAGCAGGGAGGAGGGACTTACTGGGAGGTCTGAGAGGGCTGCAGAGCTGCCCTTCCCGCTGCCGTGTTCATTTGTCTGCAGGTCTCTGCAGACTCCTGGCCCAGTTCGCAAACAGCCCCTGGCCGGGTGCCCTTTCTGGTCCTTTGGGATGACAAACGCAGCCGGACCTTTTCCAGGAGGCTCCGTCGGCCGAGCGAGTGGGGCCTGCCTGCTGCACGATGGGCTCCTGCAGCACAAACCCAGTGAGGAATCAATCCTGCCCTGGTGGGTTTTGTTCTGTTTTGGTTTTTTTTTTTTTTTTTTTCTGAAAACATCTCACATCAAGCAGCCCTAAAATGTCTTTAACTGCTTTAAAGCAGTTTGCTCACCTTAGTCCTTAGAACAGCCAGTGGGAAGACAGAATGGTTCCATTTCCCACCCGCAGCCGAAGCCCCACGTCAGTGGGGGCTCCCTGATCCTTTTCCAGCCACCGTCACCGTCTCCCATCCGTGGTGGCCCCAGCAGTTCCTCCATCCCCCTGGCCAGGCCGGGCTCAGCTCACCTGGTGCTGGGTGCTGGGCGCCGGGCGGGTGCTGAGCCGTGCTGGCGGGCTGGGGCCTCCCCATCACACTAAGGGTTCAGGATCCGGCCACTGAACCGTGCTGGGACCGATGTGTATCTATTTATTGCAGCCAGAGAAAGGTCCAAGAGGCAGCAGGACACGGCTCTCCGTGGGTCCGAAACTGCCTGGGGAATATTTAAACCCAGGAATTGTGGCCCGGGACTGATGTTTAGACAAACCTGGGTGGTAACGGGCTCCCAGCTGTGAGCGGACGCTGTGCCTGAGGCCACGGTGCCTGGCAAGGAGCACGCTGGTTGTTTATTATGGAAGTATTTTAAATTTAGTTTAGTTTCTCCAATTTGCATCAGTTTTTGCAGCTCCCCCTGGGACAGAGCGATTACAACCCCAGGCTTGACCCGGAGCTCAGCCACTGCCCAGCCCCGTGTTGGTGCCACTGCGAAGCCCCCGGGGCCACCCCAGTCCCGAGCCGATGGGCTCCCGCAGCCCCCCGCTCCCCTCCTGCCCAGCTAAGCCCAGCCCAAGCCCCAGGGAGCACAGGTTTTAGCAGGCGGGCGGCTTCCAGCCAGATCAGAGTGATACACTGGCCATGCCAAGCCTCTCACATGAGGCTTTTGGGGCGTTTTTGGGTTTTTTTCAGCATGTGCGCCCACCCCACCTTCCCGCAGAGCCCAGCCTGACGCTCAGCAGGAGCGTGGGGGTGAGGAAGGAGGCTGGCAGCACGCACCGCGCCGCGGGGTCACGCCGACTCCTGTGCTCGGCCTGAGGAACCTCCGCCAGCCCGGGCTTTGCTCCTCACCCAGAACTGCCGCCGTGGTGGACACAGGAGAGGGCGAGCAGGGCCCTGCCTTTCAGCAGCTCTCACAGACTCTGATAGAGGCTGTGAAAGTGCTTCTTCCATTAACTTCTGAAAATACAATGAAGATAAAAAACGTCGCCGCTTTCACTGGCTCGAAGCATCTCCTGATTTTTTAAGCCAATCACAAGATATTTTCTGGTGGCCCAACTTTTGATTTACGGATGTATAGGCCGAGTAATGCTGCTGACAGCTGCCAAGAAAACGTCTGATGCAGAAAGCTGGTCCTAAATCAGAGCAGTCAGCTGGTTAATTGTGCAGCAAGTTGGGCCAGAGAGAATTATGGAGCTTAAAACTAAGACTCTGATCTTGCAAGAAGTCCTGCGTGGGTGGATTCCTGTGCCTTTATGGGTCTCCGTGCAGCACATAAATTGAAGATGTCGGTGCTCCACTAAGTACATTTCAATTCTAAATTTATCATATAGATGTGTCTACTGTAGTGTGCTTTTAACCTCTCCAAATTCTTCCTCCGGGAAGCCCTCCCCGAGGCTCAGTCTCCAGCTTCGAAACTTCTTGTTTTGATTATCTTTCCTTTGTATATAAAAAAAAAACTGACAAGGTTTTACTTATGCTGGAAAATATTTTTCTTGCTCAGATGAAATCAACATGTTTTCCTTAGGAAAGCAAACCGTGCACCTGTGGGTTGGGACACCAGAACTCTCAGTGTGGTGCCTCGGTGCACATTCCAATTTGCCATCATTTAATACGAGGTCTAATGGGAAGAAAAACCAGTTTTCTTTCCCTGAAATGCTGTTTTGAAGGCATCCATCCCTGGAAAAATTACAGTCCTGAAAAGAAACTTTGCAGATAAAAAAGGAGCTGGGAAAAAAATAGGCAAAAAAATCCCTCAAGCTGCTGCTTTGGCTTGTGGCACCTGGGCGCGGGGACCCGGCGTGGTCAGGGCGTCGGGGCCCGCCGGGCGCTCCCCGGGGGCCTGGAGCCGGGACAAGGCCCGGCCCCCCCCGAGCCTGCAAACCCAGCTCAGCACCCTCCAACGTGCTGGGATGGCAGAGTTATTGCAGGAAGGGTACTGAGAAAATACAGCAATGAGAGGCCTGGAAAAGGGCAGAGAGGAGAAATGAAGCTCCCGCTGACACCAGCGCTGAATTCAATCCGCTCAGGCTGCCGAGCTGCAGGCTTTTCCCGCCACAATACTATAGGCTGGAAAAATGAAAAATAAAATCCCTCAACCAAGGAGCGAGTGGTTTATTTAGGAAATCTTGTGGAAAGAGGCTGCATTTCCTCTTTGCGTGGAGGAAGCAAAGCGTGCGGCCCCCAGGAACAGCCCCTCCCAGTGCGGGCGCGCGGTCGGGCGCTTTTCCCTAAGCCCGGGCTCAAGAGCAGGTGGTGAGACTCATTTAAGAGAGACCCGCGAGGGGGCTTTTGTCGAACAGGAGCGAGAAGGCTGGAAACGCGGGGGCACAGCGCCACGAGGCTGGGAAAACACGTGAGGAGGGGATAAAGCTGCCGGAGGGATGGAAAGGAGCCGGCGCTGCGTCTGCAGTCGGAAATAAGCAGAAAGGCGTTTACTGACGGAGGCAGCTCAACAAGAACCGGGCAGCAAAGTTAACGATGAGCAAAGGCTCAAAACCCACCTTTCAAACCCGCCCCTCTGTAACAGGCAGGAGATACTTCATGGGGTTTACACAGGTTACAGTTGTAATATAAAAATGCTCCTTACTAGAAATAAAAACTAAGCAAAGACACTGAACACCACACCTAGAGGACTCTTTCATCAAACCACTTTTAGATTTAATTTTGACAAAATACCCACGTGTGCCCCAGCCACGGGTGGGGAGGGTCGGCTGCACCCTCGGGGTGCGGGACGGGTCCCGCGGGGCCCGAGAGGGGATGGTGCAGCGGGTGCAACATCGGCAGTGCAGAAAGAAGGAAAAAAAAAAGCACGGCTGGATTCGTCTTTTGTTTTACATCATGGAAACTTTATAAACACTTGAAGTAACCTACGCTTTTACAGGACAAAATGGCTCCGAGCTGCGCTGGGCTGGGCGAACCCCGCGCTCCCAGCAGGATTGTGCCCCGCAGCCCCCCCAGCACCCCCCACCACTGGTCCCCAGCACCCAGCTGCGCTCACGGAGGAAGAAAAAAAAAAAAACAGCACAGACACG